CATTGAAAAAACTAGTTAATTATTAAAAAAGGTAGGACCATTAAGTGATAATTTTAAAATTGAGGTTGAATGGTCATTTTTGGAATGCTAAGCTAAGAAACACTCACAGGGGGTTCTTTAGCCTTAGTGCATTCAAAAATGACATTCAACTCAATTTAAAATCATCAGTTAATGGGTCTACCTTTTTAATTAAATAGTTTCAATGCCATTAATAGAGCAACATAAACACTTCTAAGCATAAGTCGTCATTGGCTTATATTTTATGAAATATTCTTTTCTGCTATGTGATCCTTTATAAAAATTAATCTAGAGTTAATTATGCTTAGTAGTGTAGAACATATTTTAGTCACACAAAATTTTAGTCATACGTACTTAAATATTGTATATAAATAACTTTCAATAAAATATTTACACAGCCACTTCGCCGGTAATATCTTTGCACACTTTACTTCTCACAAAATTATCGTAGAGGATATATTACACCCGATTAACAAGAATGGTCGGCATAATATGCGTTAAGAGGGCGACCCACTGACCAGCGCGTTAATTTTTGATGCTATCAGTCGCCATTCGTAATGCAAGTATTTCGTTTTTAAATATTTGTTATCAAATAAATATTGTGCAGTAAATAAAGAAGAAAACCGTTGCGTTCTGCGCTACCGCTGAAATAGTACTGAGCCACTAAATGGCTGTTGTCAGCAATAACTGTTGTTGTGTTCAAAAAATTATACCATTTTAATCATTATTCATTTAAAGGTGCTTTTTATGCATAAATATTATGCGGCAGAGCGGATTAATTACCTCAGTGATATTTTTTGTAATCCTGTTCGGTATTATGTTTCGAACTTGACTGTTCGATTTCGATGTGAAAGTCAATAAACAAAATAATTACAAGATATGATTATTTTATTTTAACTCAATTATAATTAATGTACAAAATTTCTTCAACAAAAGTTGATAGCTCTTGTAAAGCAAGAGTAGGGCGGAAAAATTATTTAAATAAAAGTTAGATTTATATTCGAAGTTCCTGTAAGGGATTAGATGTTGTAAGATATTAATCTCTTTTTTACGAGCAATTGTAATTTATATAAAGCATGGAATTAGTACATTTTTAACTGCTCCTCTCTCTCCAATGAGTATGCCGCAAAGTCCCGATTGATTAAGGTCCGGACTAATTGCTGGCCTCCTCAATAAGGCGAGTTTTTCAATGCATTGAAATGACATCGTAGACTGAGAAAATTGCAATTAATCAAATACTCTCTATGAACATTTACAAATGGTAAAGTTCGCTTTCATAGAGATTCTTATATCTGCAAATCTTTCCATCTTGGTAAGTAGCAAAATAGAAGTGTTTGCATGTACATTATATAGTTCGTGACAGATTTTAAGTCGGATTTTATGACATATATATTGCCCCCTCGTGTTCGTTATTTTAAACATTGTCTAAATTTAGCTCGTTACACTGGTACAGAGTAGGCCTCCTGACGGCAATAAACTTCTGCTTCGCTTAAATTATCCTGTCTCGTAATTTCACAACTTGGGAACAAAAAAATATCACACTGAGCCAAATCTGGAGATATGGTGGATATGGCAGCAATTCGTAGCCTACTTCAACCAGTTTGGCCATGGCGACGACGAGGTGTGAACCAGTACGCTGGCATTTATGAACGTATTCCTCGTGACAGCTGAGCCTATCGAACAGAAAATAATCACATTCGGTAATTGTTAAACGGTATTTGTCATTATTTTGGTTCATTGGTTTTGATCTCCTTGCCAGGTCTTTTATGATTTTTTATACTCGCGTATACTATAAATTATGACAATCAAGAACCCCCAAATCGCCGTTATTCGTGAAGTTATATTATAAATTTGCTAAGAGAATCACAGCTGGAAAGGTATTACAGTTTTAAAGAATGGGCCCTCTATAAATCTCACATCTCAGCAAAACACGGGAACCAAATACGGTTCTTAACTCATCTTGCCTTACTCATATCTCCCATATAACATAATATAACTTTATAAATATATAATCAAGTAGCAGTAAAATATCGCAGAAAATAAAATCGTGTGCTTTTATTTCTAATATGAGTCAACTTCAACTGAAATTGGTTGAAATCTAACAGACTAGTCTCAGATCTACCTATCTAGGACCCTCAGTTATAGGCCTGATTTTACAAATATCTGTAAGATATGTAATGAAAGTAAGAGTACATTTTACCCAAAAATATTGTGATGGTTGTCTAAAATATATAAAATCGGTTCAGTACTTAACCTAGCCCCCATACGCCTGATATAATGGTTTTCGTTAGTCGGTTGACTTTATCTCATATGCATACATATCGGTAAGTATGTAAGCTATCTTACAAATAAAAGTAGCGCCTTAACTTAGACAAACACTTTAATATCGATAAGCAGTGAATTGGTTCACGATATACCATCGTTTCGTCGAATAACGATTTTGAATTCATTTAAACATTTATTATATAAAATTTTGCTAACGCTCTAAATATGTTTTCGCCTTTGGGTTATAAGAATTGTGAGATGCAGCCCCTCGAACCTAGTCCTACTTTACTTGTTATTGTTTTAAAGTTTTGTGATGAGCCAACATACGTAGAATTCAACCAATCTTGAACTCGTTGTGGTAAAAATCTGCAAAGACAGCAAAAATAATAATAATTTTAAATTATTTCAGATTCTATTTGCTTTTTAAAATGTTGTAATTATTTAGCTCAAGAGGCGATACATGAGTGCAAGGAAACTCGGTATTATAATTCCACTTCACCACATTACATTCCCGATACAGCTCTCTCTGCCATACTTCTTCACTTTCTAGTAATGGATATACAGTACCGAGCCTTCATCTTTGGACAACTGGATAACCTTAGCGTTGGTTGCAATAAAAAAAAAATACGGTAGTAAGATGAATATAACGCAGTCCCTCAACTATTAGTTCGGCCCGCATTGCTCGCATCAGGGTGCGCACAGCGAATTTAGACTAACTATCGGTTCGCTCTGTGGCCAATACCTGTAGACCTTGATATAAATATAAATCAAATCATATGCGATTTTTATTTGAAAGTTCTTGAACTACCGGCTACAGAGCATATGGCCATAATATACCCTTTCTTGGCACGCCTCATATTCTCCATGAACACACGATTTGTCTGGAAAAATGTTCAATATTTATGATATTTTTATCTACTTTGATATTTCGACGAATTTTGTTAAATTCTTCATAACTCACCAGAAATGAAGTATAATTAACATTTATCATCGCTTGAATTTGCGACTGTGGGCTTTATCCTATCCGCATGGAACAACAACCCCGCATTATTCACGAGTATAGTGGCGCACCTATTCATTTGTTAGTTGCCATTGAGTTTCACAATTCATCGATTTGTGAGTCCACCTGTTAATATGAGACATTATAATAATTGAGATGTTTGAATTAAGCCCTCAATTCACTAACCTTATAAGCTTTTGCTTTGACACCATATTTTCGGCATTTTTCTCGCTGTCGTCACAGCCAAATCGAAATTAATATCACATTAGCGACATGACATCCCCTGGCGGCCAATTCTATAGCGATACATTTGCCCAGTCCACCTGCCGCACCGGTGACCTTGAATGGATTTAAAGAGAGGATGATTGGTATGTGTATGCTAAAAAACAACCGCAGAATCAACATTCCTGAAAAATTCGATGCATTCCGATGCATTTCAAAACCATTCAAAATCTTTGTAAAATTCGTCTTCAAACTGAAACTTTCTATTCTTAGTTTAGACGGTTTGACGTCAGTAAGAGGTAGCGGAGGGCGCGGTCGATTTTTAAGGGTCAAAACGGCTTATGTCGATCATGTTTTAGTTGTATGGAAAAGTTGTAGATAATGAAGTTGTAAATAATGAAAATATCTACAACTTTGTATGAATACCTTTTTCGCATAACTTCATAATTTCTGTGCAAAATTCAAATTTCTAAGTTTTGGTTTTTAAATTTTCTTGTGCAAAAATTTTTGACGAAAGTTGGTTTAAACTTGCCTACTTATTCTAAGTAAATGTATTTTTATATTTAAATAGAGGAGGAAACTTTCTTTAGATTTTTAATCAGCTTTGAATCGTTTAGTGTTTTTGCAATTTTGGAGAAAATTTACCACAGTAATGTGTAACTTTTGACACCATCAGAAAGTGGAGATTTAACACACATAAGGCATACGAACTTTTAAGAAAATCTGATATTTTGACGTGCTTGAATTCTTGACTGGTACTACAGTGTTGCATTTGTAGCCAATACAGGGCAATTGGAATAATCTCCAATTCATTCAACTACATCGCTATTATAGATTACATTAAAAATTGGTATAAAATATTTCAAATTAATGCGATAAAATTTAAAATTTTACAAATTTTATCATAGTAAACATATTTGCTCAAATTATTCGAAATCCTATCTTATGGTGATTTATAGGTTGCATTCATTTCTCATTAGCTTTTCAAAACAAAGAAAGGCGTTTGACTTTGCATTTCATTTAGCAAATGCTTGCCATATATGAGACGAATTGCTATTAAATTGCAAATTGCAAAGTAAACAATTAAATATAAATCTGTAACGCCGAGTGCTTTCCTAAACGGTTGCTCTCTATTGAAAAAAATTAGATGCAATCGTGTATGTTAATGAATCGACGCGTAATCCCATTAAGCTATGACTATGTTTGTCTGTATTTCGAAAACAAAAATATTGCAACTGGTGCATTGCCACTACGATAGCTTTGCTATTGAATTAATTCATAACATTGACCGTGAATCTCTGAAGGTCTTGTGTTTTTCCGCAAGTGGAAGTAAAATCAATAGATAAGTCTTTAGAAGATAACTGGTATAAAAACAAGTTCTATTTTTTAAGTCTTTTTGTTTTGCTTTTGTGTTTTGTTATTTTTTAGCAGTTTGATAACGATATAGTAGAGCGAAAGCGAATAAACATATTTATGTGCTTGGAGATAACTTTACTCGCTAGTGTTAAAATTGTGTTTATGGTATAATATTATAATCATATATTTTATAAAGGGTGGCTCTATAAGTGGTTTATATTTTCAATTCAAAAATTTATTTATGGGATACTTATTTTACAAAGTGTGTAACCGAACTTTATATATAAATCATTAACGATTTGTAGAATTGAAAATGTACATTCATATATTAAATTTTAGGAAAACAAAAACCATTTTGTGTTCCTTATATCGGAAAAACATTGAGACGCACGATTGAATAAAAATTGTACGGTGGTGATTGTATGCGTCGTACTAAGTTACACGTGGTTCACACGATTTAATAGCCGTTAGGATTTAAATGACCAACAGTTGTTCGCCAGAAGAGTAATAGTGCTGATTTGATGAAGAAAGTCCGTGAGATTTTCTACGAGAATGTGGTTGAAGTATTAAATGCGAGTAAAACACTTTTGGAGAAATTCAACTCAAGATTTGGGTAAAAGAAGATCTGTGAGCGTTTAGTTCCTCATGAATTAAATGAAACCATAAAAGTGAAAAATGTTTGATAAAAATTTCTTAATTTTTATCTAAAAGTTTGGTTATTTTAGGACACACCTTGTATTGAAAACTGAATAATTATATCACTCATAGAAACTACTTCATTACAAAAGTTGCTAGAGTAACAGTTTCTAGCTCTATTTGAAAAGTATTATATGAATGAAAGAAAGTCAATGTATGTGCTACCTGTATGTAAGTTCGTTTAAAACATAGCAAAACTAAATCAGAATCAGAAAAACATAACAATTATTTCGGTTTTACGCTGTCTTAAACATAATAAACACTAAATAATAATTTTACACACCCAAGGTTTGACGATCAGTTTATGATAATTTTAACCTTATTTATATGATAATTGACTAAATAGTAATTAAACTAAATTCAAATCAATTAATGAGTTCATTGGTGTAGGCAATTACTAATGGACTCAACTAAGACGTATAAAAACATAGAATACATATTTAAATCAATTAATTTGTTTATTGTTGTAGCAATTTTGTTAATTGACTTAATTAAGTCTTTAATGAGCACTCAATTAAGTCGTATAAGAAACCAAAAGTGAACTCGCCAAGAAATCTCATATTTCAGCAACTACACGAAAATTTCAACCAATTTTGTCTTTACAGTATCTTGCCTACTTCTCTGCTGTAACGCAATACTAACTTCCATCAGATTCTTTCAATTATAATACATAAATCAAGCACCAATAAAGATAGCGGAATAAAACAATTGCTTAAATAATGTCACAAATATTAAATAGTATCACAATATATAATATAAAACGAATAAATATTTAAATTATTAATTGATTCATAGTTGTAGTCAATTTGTTAATTAACTTAATTAAAACAAAGCGTAAGAATGGAAAAGTAAAATTTTTAAAGTAATTTAAATTAGTAATATAGTAACGACGTTTCATTTTTTACCACAACTTCATAATCTAACATACAAGTAGTCCCTATGATCTAAAACTGCATGATTTTTAAAGACTGAACCCTAGAGTGTTCTTAGCTTAGCATTCCAAAAATGACATTCAACTCAATTTAAAATATCACTAATGGGTCTACCTTTTAATTAAATAGTTTTCAATGCCATTAATAGGAGAACATAAACACTTCTAAGCATAAGTCATTGGCTTATATTTTATGAAATATTCTTTTCTGCTTATGTGATCCTTTATAAAAATTAATCTAGAGTTAATTATGCATTAGAGTTAGAACAAATTTTAGTCACACAAAATTTTTAGTCATACGTACTTAAATATTGTATATAAATAACTTTCAATAAAATATTTACCACAGCCACTTCGCCGGTAATATCTTTGCACACTTTACTTCTCACAAAATTATCGTAGAGATATATTAACACCGAAAATAACAGAATGGTCGGCATATAAGCGTTAAGAGGGCGACCACTGACCAGGCGCGTAATTTTTGAATGCACAGTCGCCATTCGTAATGCAAGTATTTCGTTAAATATTTGTTATCAAATAAATATTTGTGCAGTAAATAAAGAAGAAAACCGTTGCGTTCTGCGCTACCGCTGAAATAGTACTGAGCCACTAAATGCAAGCTGTTGTCAGCAAGTAACTGTTGTTGTGTTCAAAAATTATTACCATTTTTAATCATTATTCATTTAAAGGTGCTTTTTATATGCACATAAATATTATGCGGCAGAGCGATTAATTACCTCAGTGATATTTTTGTACATCCTGTTCGGTATTATGTTTCCGAACTTTGACTTGTTCGATTTCGATGTTGAAAGTCAATAAACAAAATAATTACAGAATTATTTTATTTATAACTCAATTATAATTAATTGTAAAAGTTGATAGCTCCTGTAAGGGATTAGATTTGTAAGATATATAATCCTTTTTTTACGAGCAATTGTAATTGTAAAGCATGGAATTGAGTACATTTTTACACTGCTCTCCTTCCAATGAGTATGCCGCAAAGTTCCCCGATTGGATTAAGGTCCGACTAATTGCTGGCCTCCTCAATAAGGCGAGATTTTCAATGCGTGAAATACATCGTAGACCTAGAAAATCTGCAATATCAAATATCTCTATGAAATTTACAAATGGTATAAGTTGCTTTCATAGAGATTCGTATAAATCTGCAATCTTTCCATCTTGGTAAGTAGCAAATAGAAGTGTTTTGCATGTACATATATAGTTCGTGAAGATTTAAGTCGGAATTTTTATGACATATATATTGCCCCTCGTCGATTTATTTTTAAACATTGTCTAAATTTAGCTCGTTACACCGGTACAGCAGTAGGCCTCCTGACGGCATAAACTTCTGCTTCGCTTAAATTATCCTGTCTCGTAAATTTCACAACTTTGGGAACAAAAATATCACACTGAGCCAAATCTGGAGAATATGGTGGATATGGCAGCAATTCGTAGCCTACTTCAACCAGTTTGGCCATGGCGACGACGAGGTGGAACCAGTACGCTGGCATTATTGAACGTATCCTCGTGACAGCTGAGCCTATCGAACAGAAAATAATCACAATTCGGTAATTGTTAAACGGTATTTGCATTATTTTGGTTCATTGGTTTGATCTCCTTTGCCAGGTCTTTTATGATTTCTTTATACTCGGCTATACTATAAATTATGACAATCAAAGACCACGCCCCAAATCCGGTATTCGTGAAGTTATATATAAAATTTGCAGAGAATCACAGCTGGAAAAGGTATTAACAGTTTTTAAAGAATGGCCTCTATAATCTCACATCTCAGCAAAACACGGGAAACCAAATACGGTTAACATCATCTTGCCTACTCATATCTCCCATATAACATAATATAACTTTATAAAATATAAATCAAGTAGCAGTAAAATATCGGCAGAAATAAAATCGTGTGCTTTTATTTAATATGAGTCAACTCTCAACTGAAATTGGTTGAAATCTAACTAGACTAGTCTCAGATACCTTATCTGAGGCCCTCAGTATATAGGCCTGATTTTACAAAATATCTGTAAGATTGTAATGAAATTAAGAGTACATTTTCCCAAAATATTGTGATCTGTTGTCTAAAATATATAAAATCGGTTCAGTACTTAACCTAGCCCCATACGCCTGATATAATGGTTTTCGTTAGTCTGGTTGACTTTATCTCATATGCATACATATCGGAGTATGTAATCTATCTTAACAAAATAAAAGAGCCCTTAACTTAGACAAACACTTTAATATCAATAAGCAGTGAAATTGTTCACGATATACCATCGTTTCGTCGAATAACGAATTTGAATTCATTTAAAACATTTATTAATATAAATTTTGCTAACGCTCTAAATATGTTTTCGCCTTTGTTTATAAGAATTGTGAGAGTGCAGCCCTCGAACCTAGTCCTACTTACTTGTTATTGTTTTAAAGTTTTGTGATGAGCCAACATACGTAGAATTCAACCAATCTTGAACTCGTTGTGGTAAAATCTGCAAAGACAGCAAAATAATAATAATTTAAATTATTTCAGATTCTATTTGCTTTTAAATGTTGTAATTATTTACGCTAAGAGGCGATACATGAGTGCAAGGAAACTCGGTATTATAATTCCACTTCACCACATAACATTCCCGATACAGCTCTCTGCGCTACTTCTTCACTTTCTAGTAATGGATATACAGTACCGAAGCCTTCATCTTTGGACAACTGGATAACCTTAGCGTTGGTTGCAATAAAAAGGAAATACGGTAGTAAGATGAATATAACGCAGTCCTCCAACTATTAGTTCGGCCCGCATTGCTTCGCATCAGGTGCGCACAGCGAATTTAGCACTACTATACGGTTCGTCTGCGGCAATACCTGTAGACCTTGATATAAATATAAATCAAAGCATATGCGATTTTTATTTGAAAATTCTTGTAACTTACCGGCTACAGAGCATATGGCCATAATATACCCTTTCTTGGCACGCCTCATACTCCATGAACACACGATTTGTCTGGAAAAATGTTCAATATTTATGATTTTTCTTCTTTGATATTTCAGCCATTTTGTTAAATTCTTCATTAACTCACCCAGAAATGTGAAGTATAATTAACATTTATCATCGCTTGAATTTCTTCGACTGTGGGCTTTATCCTATCCGCATGGAACAACAACCCCGCATTATTCACGAGTATAGTGGCGGCACCTATTTCATTTGTTAGTTTGCCATTGAGTTTCACAATTTCATCGTATTTGCTGACGTCCACCTGTAATATGAGACATTATTCAACTAATTGAGATGTTTGAATTAAGCCCTCAATTCACTAACCTTATAAGCTTTTGCTTTGACACCATATTTTTCGGCTATTTCTCGCGCTGTCGTCACAGCCAAATCGAAATTAATGTCACATATTGCGACATGGCATCCCCTGGCGGCCAATTGTATGGCTATGTGTTTACCCAGCCCACTTGCTGAACCAGTGACCTTAAATATATTTAAAATTTACTATAAATAGAGTGTTCAATTTAGTAGTATTTTGTGAATTATACCGAACAGTGTACCTTAAATTTGTCACGAAGTTTGTAACACCCAAAAGGAAACGTTGGAGACCCTAAAAAGTATAAATATAAATGATCAGCATGACGATCTTAGTCGATGTAGACATTTTCGTCTGTACGTATATTGTCTCCCTCAGTTATTCAAATAACGATCTATAATTTTGCACACGTCCTCTTCGCACTAAGAAGCAGCTCATTTGTCGGAATCGTTCATGTATGGAAAACTTGTTATCTTCACGAAATTTGGCATGAATTAATGCTCAAGGTAACGCTACTATTTCCGAATATATTGTTTAGATCGAGCTACTATACCATATAACTGCCATTCAAACTAATCAATACCGAGTTCTTGTATGGAAACTTTTTTATTTGTGAAAGGTATTCTCGTTTCAGTACAACCAAAGTTAACGATTTTTCTTGTTTTAAATAAGATTTTTCAATCGTTAGTGGCGCTCTTTGTGTTTAATTTTAGGTCGACCAACTTTCTTTCCCTGCAGTTTCCTTGAACTTTGTAAACGATCTTTGATGATTTTTTGTTACGAGTTGTGTGCAAATATAAATACAGACATATATACTACATCGATTACATAAGAACTGAACATGCATAAAGCATTATCTAATCGCTTTGATAATTCCAAACATTGTATTATAAAGTAGCCGTTAAGCAATAATCTAGTTATGCATATTACTTTGTAACGTAACAAGGTTCACTAGCGCAGCAAACAGTTATATTATATTACTGAGAAATCTCGTTTTTGCTCAGTTTGTATGGCAGCTATATGCTGATCTGATCTAAACATTCTTCGGAGATTGCACTGCTATTATAGACCATAACACGTGCTCAATTTCGTGAAGTTACCTCGTGAAATGAAAAATATTTCCATACAAGAACTTAATTTTGATTGTTCAGTTTGTATGGCAGCTATATGCGATAGTGGTTCGATATCAGCGGTTTCTATAAAAGAGCAGCTGCTTTGGGAGAAAAGGACGTGAACAAAATTTCTGTTCGATATCTCAAAAGCTGAGGGAGTAGTTCGCGTATATACAGACGGACCCTGGGATATGCCTAAATCGACTCAGCTCATCATGCTGATCATTTATATATATTTTTTATAAGATGTGCGACGTTTCTTTCCGGGTATTACAAATTTCGTGAAAAACTTAATATACCCTGTTCAGATTCCCGGAGACGAATATGACTCAGCGTCCTGATCATGCTTCTTATCACTATGCTTAAGAATTTATTTCCAATTGTCTTTAAATATTTACACTTAAAATTATTATTTTTTTCTGTCGGACTCATTTGATGTTAGTTATTTTTAGTTTTATAATAATTAAATTTAGTAACGCAATTAAACTTAGTAATGATTTTGATTTTGACTAGCGCTATGCTGTTTAGAGGTTAAAGGCGCCGTTCAGGACTCGGCCGAAGCTCCCATTTAAAGTATTCGTCAGTATTTCGCAAATTCAGAATATTTATACCGTCATCAATGGCATTAGTAAAATTTGTCATTTCGCTGTCGTATGAAAATCTATCACAAATGATGCAATTCTAAAGCTTTGAAGTTTGATGCAACTATCAATCTACAAAACTCGATTAACTTTAGTTTATGCTTAACATATACTTTTTTTTTTTAATAGTTTTAATAATATTTAATTAGTAATATTATTTCCTTTATATTAAACATGTCATTGCACTTACAACGGCCACTTCATTTTTAATAGATTTTTCCGTTTTTCGTCGGCAACTTTCAATATTAGTAAATATTGAGGATACTAAAAGCACTATAGGCCATATGAAAACCGCCAATATGATATTGAATATCCAGATAATCACTCTTTGCGCACTTTTTCCAACCATTTTTAAAACATAGGTATAAGAGTTAATTCTCAGCTAAGTGTAACAGTATCACTGGACGGTAGCCAGGTTAACATTGAGATAACAATTTTTCTATAAAATCACTTCGGTCTCGTCGTTTAAATATCTGATTAAACATGATAAAAAATAGAAATGATAAGGATTCATAAAAATAACTAAATCAAAATTTATTAATAAAGCGGAAAGACAAAAAATCAGATTTCATGCTGGAGGGTTGTGTGTGTGCGACTATTGCATGATGTATCGTAGGTTCACATACCGATCACAGGCATGTCGCAATACTATACTAGTGTTAAAGTACAACTGTAGTGTAACTGCTATGCTATCAAAGCACCAAAGCGAGAATATTGGTTTATACTACTATATTGACTACCTTTCCATAAGTCAATGTTCGAATCTGAAATGACAGCTGATGTCAAAGGTTTTTTGGACAAGAACTTGTTCTATAACAATACAAACTTTCTCGAAGCCACTTTAGAGCGTTACGTTTTAATATTTAAAATATACAATTTATTCTGTAAGTATTGAAAAAGGAATCAGCGCCCTAAATGAAAATCTCGGCCTTCGAATTTCGTAATTGAAGTTATTGAATACGAAATATTGTTAATCATTCTATTATTTCTATTAAATTGCGGAAATACTAGTAATATAAGCCTAGCTTACATTTCATTGCATTTTAGTCTACTTTAGACCTAAACCGAAAAGGAAAAGACAAAAACTCAGTAGAAAATTGTGTTTTTCTTCAATTGTTTTTTACAAGCATGTCAAATAATTAGTTATGCAGCTAAAAGGGGCGGATCCATAATTTCGGAAGGGGGATGAGAATTTTGTGGTATGGGTTCATATTAAAAATCCTCCGTGTATCCGCCACTGGCAGCTTACTCTATCCACAAAGTTAAATATAATATTAAACAGTCAGAGGGTTGTCTCGAAGGACAGTTGATATAATGAAAAAGGTTTCTGTGAATATATAAGCACACTTAAAGTACTCTTTAAGTACAAATGCATTTTTTGTTTTCTCACAGTAAACAATAAAATTATTATAAATCGCTTACAAACTGATAAAAGTATTTATCTCTAACAATGTAGGAAGTTTAAGTAATTTATATTTTCATACTGCAAACGCATTTACATTACTGGGAAGCAATAGTTTTTTGTTTCTTACCTGTTTTTGTATGATATTGCCACACTGATTCCAAATTTTTAGTCAGTTTTTCTCTAGCAGCTCTAGTTTTCGAAATATGAACATATTACATTTTTAGCCGAAAATACTACAATTTTAGAAGTCAAAAATATATTGCTCCTACTTAATATGAAAAAATCTTTCTTTTATGTGATTCTCTTGCATGAGTAGAAACATCAGTCTTGTTTTGAATGCTACAGCAGCAATCAGCCGTTATATTTGGATTCCAACGACCATGGTTACGCTCATCCATAGTGCGAATAGTCGCCTAAATTTTCTGAAAAGGGCCTAAATGGCTAAAGAGGAAGGGCAGCTTGATGCCCATATTACATCCTAGTTTCTGGAAGTGCAACATGAGCTTCTTAATGTGTAGTCTGAAGACTTTTTATTTCCTAAGAAATTTTGCACAATCCAAATAAATTCAATCCATGCGATTTCTTCTTATCAGTTATACAATCAGTCAAATGTTGGTCCTTTATTAGTTCTTTGACTTGAGGACCATCAAAAATACCGATAAACATGTTATATATGGGTAATTCCATGTCAAATCGACAAAGCGTTGGACCCGAACCCCGCCGATTTGGTTGAATTTTGGCTGCGAGTTTTGTCTCATCATAAAACAAAGTTCTGCCAAAGGAAAAAATTTTAAAAAGGTGTTATTCAAAATTGGAATTTTCACTGTTTTTTCCGATTTTATGAGTTTATTTATTCAATATTTCAGAAACTATTGTATATTATGAAAAAAAACGCTGGTGCGACACTAAGAGGTATTCAAATTTTCAAAATTGTAAAAAGTACCCGCCGCGGGAAAATTTTGCCCTCAACATTTTTTCTATTATACCTCTAACATATTTAAAGAAATTTTGAAATTTTCAGAGGTGTGTTCTTTTTCGTTTCAAAGATATAAATTTTTGAATTTGAAATGTTGAAAAAATAGAAAAAAATTATTTCGCCGAAAAATTAATTCGGTGGGGGTTGCGCCCAACTATTTGTCGATTTGACATGGAATGACCCATATATAGCTCAGTCTCGGTGGAGTTAATCCGCAACTTGCTCAATAAGCAGATAAGCGTGGCATTTATGGAATATGGGCAGCACATGACGGACTGTTTAAATTCAAAAAGAATGACATTAGAATTCTAGTAGGAGAGCCAACGATCACTGTATAAACAGACTGGAAATACTATACAAAGATAAGATAAGATACTACATATAGAACATCGCACCTAATTTATTACTTACAATCTGGGTTGCAAATAATTCATTAAAAAAAGAATTGAAATAAAATTTTTATTTTCTAGTCCAAAATATGAGATTAAAAAATAGAAAAATATATTTAATTCTACAAAAAAAATATTTTTAATCCCAAAACCGGAAATAGTTAACGCTGTTATTACAAAATCGCTGGTTTTGCGTCAAAAAAACCTTACTTTTGAAATTAATTAGAACTTCTTTTTATAATATATAATATAATAACAAAAGCATTTGTATACAAAACAATTTAGGAAGTTAAAAGCCCAATTAATATACATTTATACTAATTAATGAGTTGCTAATCTATTTTTGTTCCTGTAAAAATTAAATATTTACAAAGAAAAACATTCTGCCTTTCCTCTAATTGAAATTTTTTCTTAGATAATTTTATTAAATTGTCTTGCCGCTGGTTTTCTTTTGCCTTTGTTCTACGACATTTATACGACATATATAGATATTATTGTGAACCTGTTCGAATGCATGTATGTACGTATGTATGTGTGGAGAAAATAGAAGTCGTGATTCTACGCCACTTTTTGTGTGACGTTGTGCTGCCGTATAAGCATAATATAAATAGATCTAGATCTACTTACAAAAAGCGTGATTCGTTTGTTGATGACAAGCAACAAAAACAAGCACTGCCAGCAACGATCACTTCTAGTTTCGAATATAAAGTAAAGCATTCGACTAACAAACAATAATTACTCAATACTTTTGACCCCATGCTAAGGTGATATACGGTGTGCGCTACAGTGAGCCCATCATAATGTGAACTTGATAAAAATGAAATGAGTTCTGATAAATTCGTTTTTCTAAGAAATCTTCATAAACTCATGGAAATCTCTCTTCGAGTAATCTTTAATCCAGAAAAAGTCTTATTTTCCAGTTCTGACACACGACTTTATATTGTTGATTACCATATCCCGTGTAAGTATATGTCGCCGAACTTGGAGCTTGTCCTTGAGAGGAAGTTCTCGTAGAAGCCAAACATTGAGAATAGAGTGAGTGAATGTATAAGTCGCTGTAGAGGAGTATTTGGGAAGAAGTGCGATTTCTAACTCTTCAAGTGGTGCGGTAAAGCGGTACTTTGCGGCGAAGGCTGCTATTAAACTTAGGGAGCACGGACACTGGAATTCTACACTATTTCGACTACATTCTTGACAATCTTGATGACCGCATCGAAGTGTAGCTCTCTTCACTTTGATTGCCGTAGTAACGACTTTCAATTCGCTCAAAACTAGTCAAGAATTCATGACCTCACTAACAGTAGCATCAAGCTTTTTCTGTATAAATTATATTATTTGTTAATTATATTAGTTGGGTGGCCAGTCTCAGTGGAATCGCCGGAAACTGCAAAGCCGATAAGCTTGATGGGGAGAGCAACCTAACTCCGATTTCATCCGATTGGAATGCAAGCAGGTATTCCGATGTCTTCTTGCGCTACCCAGGACATATGGATCTCGTGTGAGCTCGTCAAATGGTGGACAATAACCAGAACTTGTGCGGCTGCTAGAGGCTTCTAACTTAGAAAGAACTCAAAGAAGTCCTCCGAACTACTTCTAACTGAACGGTGTGGCTGCCAAAGCTTTATAGAGGAAGGTAAGGTGGAATCATCTTATCACTTTATCCTTTATTTCTTAGGTAAGCTCAAAATGCTTCGTCGTTCTATGAAGATCTGTATATCTGAACTCATCTGGCAGTGAAAGTAGTTAAAGATATCTCCAATTTTTAGTAACATCTGATTATAAGATGTAGAACGAAATAGTTTCATATACTTTTTTGGAGTTATATAATTCACTAGATCTACGTAAAATATACAAATGGGAATATAGGGTATATAGAATGTAGTGAAAGGTCTGAAGTTATCAGGCATTAAGTTATATTCATCAAAATGTTTTATCTAATTTTCTTAACGTAAATCACATGTGGATAGAAATATTCGATATAAAGTCAACTAAAATAACGAATGTAGGGCTAGAGAAATTCATGGACCGATTTTACTTATTTTCGGCACCAAACTATTCTTGGATATCCAAGATAATACATTCATAATAAAAGTACATGGTGAAAGTACTGGATCGGTTTAATTTATTTGATTTCATTAAGGTATTTTAGAAATATGCTGATATTTTTCGTATAAGGCCGCATTGCTTATATTCGGTATCATAGGGTTAAAAATGTATGGTCCGATTTGCACCATTTGTGCAAAGATTTATCTCCATAACTACATTGTTGCTCCATTTAATATTTTGTTGTATGGAAAGTAGGCGTGGTTGTAGTTCGATGCGACTCATTTCCAAACTGTTACATAAGAGTATCAAGAAAATGTTATGTACCGATTTTATTTGTCGAGCAGTTGCTGAAATATGAGAGTGTGCAGCAGGTTGTTAAAGCTGTAATCTGTATAACAAACCTGCCATTTTATTTCCTTCCAAGATCTTCTTATTTTTAAATTCTTCTTTTTTATTAAAAAAAATTTAAACTTTTATTTTATGTATTTTTTTCTTCTGTTTCTACATCGCACTGGGTAAATATGCAAAAAATATTGTGTAACAAGCTTAGGCCTTTTGTACGATGATTTCAAATGCAAATTGCCCGTTATTTATAACTTAGTTGTCAGTTTGTATGTA